TAATATTACTAAAGTAGAGAATAATTAGAAGGGCTTATATGTTTTTTGGTTAAAAAATAGTAACTTTAATTATAATATCATACTATCAAAACATTTATTGTTAAGAATACAATGTTTAACTTCATAAATTAATAAATAATACAATAAAATATACTGTATATTTTTATTTTTTATTGTATTCTTATAATGATTTATGTATTAACATTAATTATAAATACTATAATATTTATAATCAATGGTATTCATTTTTTAATTTTTTAATAAAAAAAATTAAAGTATAACATTTTAATGAAGAATGGCATATTTATTATTTTAATATTAAAATTTATATTTACATAGTGCTGGCCATTTTTTTTGGAGTAACTTGAACATTTTCACTAGGTTCACAAAGTAAATCCAAACTGTCATCTATTGTTGGTATAATTTCTTCTACAGCTTCAATGTGAGATAGCCCTGTAATATTCAAACTATTACCTTGGAGATCTGATTGTGATAATGTAATAACACTATCGCTCATATTTTCTGTCGTATCTTGAACAACAATATGGGATGGTTCATGTGTATTCGAACTATCATATTGTTCTTTGTTGAAAATATAAACACATTCTTCAACATCAAATAATGAGGGTACTGCGCTATTAATAAGTGAAAAAGATTGAGATCTTGCAGTTTTAATAAAATCAATTTCCCTAAAGTGTTTGCTACACACTAAACTGCTATGGTTAGTTTTAAAATTAGGGTAATATGATTTTATACACTTTGCCCATATATTTCTGAGTTTTTCGTCAGCTGGAAACCTTTTAACAAAAAACATAAATCTATGAATAACGATACAAGTGAAACATATATATTAATATCTTACTTGTGTAGTTTAATGTTGCATTGTTTTGATGCAGCACCTTTACAAAGTGGAATCGAGCATATCTTAACCATTGTGATATACAACCAAAGACAATAATAACTAAAACTAAATTTACTCTACACTAAAAGTAATTAGTACAGTTAAAAATTCAAATATTATGAAGTCAAAATTCAATTATCGCAAAATTAAGGACCAGTCACAACGACAGTAGAACACGAAGTCACGAAGTGATAAATGAAAACAAACAAAATTTCAAAACAATAATCACTGGCCACTGCGCATACTGTTTTTTTTTATCAGTCGTTATATTCATGGAATAAACGAAGTATATGTAATATTTTCTTCCCTGATACCCCTTTTTGCTTATCTGATGTTGTCTTATTAATTATTGCCCAAGGCGCAGTCCATTTAGTTAATAGGTCTATGGTTGGTCCTGTCTGACGGTTAACACATTTTTTTCCTATTCTATTTACCGCATCTGGTTGTAGTACAGTATTTTGTTTTGTAAATACTCACGATGAAAACATATTAATAATACGTTGTAAAAGTGAATTGCTTAAATTGCCATTCACCCTTTTAATAGGTGAGCGTTGTCTTTTGTGCAATATTGATGGGTGTCGAAATTTTTGTGAGTCAATAATATAGGTATTTACCTATAAAGTACATGAGACAAAATGAAAAACTGTTATTTACGATTTATAGTTTACATTCCTAGTTCACAGTCTTCACTTTATCTTGTACCACCTCGCAGAAACTCCGCGATATAGAAACCAATATAGCACCATCGTCGCGAGAAAATTTTTAAACACTGATTAGAACAAATGTTTTTTCAATTGTCAAGTCTTCAGAACATTTGTATCTGATAATTCCTAATAAAATAACCTGATACGCTTGTAAGATGACATTGGCCATGATTACAATTATGCATAATGCGAGGTAGGTTAAATTATAGGTATGAAAAATAAAACAGTACTGATAGTAATTTTGAAACCTTGTATGTCTTTTAAATATATATCTAACATTTTTCCTGGAAGTAGCAAAACTGAAAGGTAGACATTGGCGTGTATACATAAAGAAATTAAAAATACTTTAAATTATTATATGTCGACATGAACGGGTTTCAAACGCGCCGAACTGCCAAAATGTCTATTCTTACTACTTGTGTAATGGAAAAAAATTGCCAAAATCCAAACGTTTAATGCTGAACTATAACAACTTATGAAGAATAATGATGTATCAAATTTAAAAGTTGTTTGACAATGCAAAACTTTTGTGTTGAAAAATATAAAAACTAATCTAAAACAAATTGAAATTTTTAAATATCTAAATAATTCAAAGTACGAGTCAAAATACTTTTTAAATTATATCATGTATAAAAAAAGCGAATATAATTATTTTTGAAAAAAAGTATCTACGGCTATTAGTTTTTGAACTACAACAAAATAAGAAAAACGTTCGATAGAATTCATATTTACTTAAAGTTTAATTCGCATTTACTAGTATGCGGTGAATATCCAATGCCAAAAATATTCTTACTTATTTTATATAAAATAAACGTTTATGTGATTTTGTGCTTTGTTTATTGACAATTGTGAGCCTGTATATATTATGTGATTCTCTGTAAGAGATGTGTTAAATTTGAATTCAATGATTTAAAATTCGTAACTTGGTAACTAGTATGATTTCATAACTCAAAAAAGTTAACAATATTTTTAAAATTTAGAGAAATTTGATAATTTGCAATTTTATATAATTATTATAATTCACATTATGTTTTTTCTTAACTCAGTCATGCTCTAAACTACGATGGCGTTTGTATTCATCTTTTTTGCATATTATTATTATTCTCACTACAGGTACACTATACACTCTTCATTGTGACGTTCAAAGCGTCATTACCAACAACACCCTACCACACTTGATATCATATATTTGAAAACCTACTTCACCATTTAATTACAGACACACTAAACATTATACATATGTTGTATTTAAGAAACACGAGAAACTAACATATTTAAAAGAAAAAAAAAATGCATATAATTACTTTTGATCTGAAAAACATAAGTTAATAAATTAAATATTAGACAAAACATGGTCTTCAACTGTAGTCCAATTGAAAACTTACTAGGTTTCCTCTACTACATTCACCTGCAATTCATAAAATGATAGAATTAGAATTATCGTAAGCAATTATCAGAAATGTGTATTAGGTAATTACATTTGCGACGGCAACCGTGGCCATCCCCCTGGTGACGGTGTCCACGGTTGCTTCGCTTGTACAATTTAGAAGTTCTAGTGGCTGTGGCGGTGGCGGTGGCGGCAAATCTAGCTGGGCACGGCATTCATTAAAATTGTATTTATAATAAAAAATAAAAAATGATTACAAACATTGGTCGTTGTACACACACTCACCTTGACAATAGCGGGCAATATGCCCGGTTTGCCGACACCTAAAACACCCTGAAACATAAAATAAATACATGTCATCAAAAGTCCTTAGCCGAAATTTATATTTGATAAAAATCTACTCACTTCTCTTCCGCCTCCCACCAGAACCTCCACGGGAGGGGTTATATGGGGTGTTGTGAAAATGCACACCCCTCCCGTAAAATTTGTAAATATTTGTCACGTTCATACTTCAACACAAAAACAAAATGTAAATAAAATATAGTATTTTCACAGGTAAACCTCTATTGTCGCACCGTGTCGGATTGATTACATAAACACTTAGGCATACGACATTTCACGAACTGATGTTCAACAATATTGATATCCGTTACCACAGACACATTTTTAACTATACTAATTTTTATAAAATTACAAAAAATTATGAATTTACGATAAAAAAAAAAACAAAACACGTGGCCTTCACCAACCATAGACGATATACATTAGTGACATAATAATTTGTAGTAAATAAAATAATTTAGCGGAATGTTTTTCAAAAAATGGTTCAAATATTAAAATACATTAAGTAAATATCATATAACATATAACAAAAGTAAAAAACAAAAAGCACGTGTGTCAAGGCGACTATCAAAGTAGGTACCTTATAACCCAATAACCCAATAACCCAATATTTAATAAATAATCACAAAGTTTACTAACGCTGTGTTCTCCGACGGCTGGACGCTGGTTGAGAAACAGTGTTGCCAGATGAAAATTAAATAAATCCCGAAATGTACGTTCGAAAATCCTCAGATTTACTTAAAAATCCTTAAAAAATTTTTTTAAGGCTGCGCTCGCTCATAATATAAGGGGCAAATCCAAACGATGGCACAAAACATGAACATCAACTTTTATTAAATCATCTTCAGTTAAAAAAAATTAACTGAAATTTAAAACCATTTATTAATTAATTAATAAACAAAATATATTTGATTAACAACATTTATTTGATTAAAAAAATGTAACATTAATATTCTGAACAATATTTAATAATATACATCTTTTTTTAATTATTGAATATAAAATAATAACATAAAAATTGAATATTAAATAAAAGGAACTTCTTTGAACCAAAGGTAATAATAAAACAATGTATAAACAATTAACCATAAATAACAAACAAGTTAAAGTGTGTTTGATAAGTTATAACAAATTTAAATAACAGTTCAACAAATTTAACAAAATATAAATAATAATTATATAAGTAATAAAAAATAATAGTCAAGAGTTAATTTTTGTACACCCTTTCTAACTGATAATGAAAAAGTGAATAGATTAAAAGTAAATTTTAAAAAAACATAAGGAACTTCTTTGAACCAAAGGTAATAATAAAACAATGTATAAACAATGAACCATAAATAACAAACAAGTTAAAGTGTGTTTGATAAGTTATAACAAATTTAAATAATAGTTCAACAAATTTAACAAAATATAAATAATAATTATATAAGTACAAAAAATAATAGTCAAGAGTTAATTTTTGTACACCCTTTTTAACTGATAAATGATAATGCAATGGTGAATAGATCAAAAGTAAATTTTAAAAAACATAAGGAACTTCTTTGAACCCATTATAATGAGAAAAACAATTTATAAATAATAAAACATAACATTAATTAAACAGAAGTATAAAATGTGATTAAACATATATAAATATAACAAATAAAAAATTTTTAAATAAGTGAATCACAACAAATTTTACAAAATATAAATTAGGTTAGTATTTAAGTCCGAGATCAATGTTTTCATCTTATTTATACATATCACTTTTGTGTTTTTTTAACATATTATTTGTGACACTAAAATCATAACAGGATTTTTGTTGATGATTTAAAATATTTTTGGAGTGTAATATACCTGACAATGTGCTAGTTGATAAACGGTTTCTTATCTTAGTTTTATTTAGATTAATTACACTGAATAGTCTTTCCACACAAGCACTACTATGGGGTAAAATTAAAATATATGCAACAAATTTGTTGATAAGAGGAAAAAATTCTAATCCATCACAGTTAGTGGTATCTCGAACACTTTTCCAAAACTTAGTAATGTCAACTTGTTCAAAATCAAAATCAAAATTTTTTAATTGACGCCACTCTCGATCAATATCATTTAGATTCAATTCTAAAATGTTTTCGAAATAATTAGCTGCCGGGGCAATGGACATGGTATTTTTTATTTCTTTAGGATTTAGAAATGATAAATATTTTAAGCACATAATTTGAGGGGAATGAAAAGGAAATCGTTGGAAAATTTGTTTTGAACATTCAACATAAAAATTTAAACAATTTGTAAAAAAGATTTTTTTCTCAGCACTTGATAATTTGCAATCTGTTTCAGATAAAAGAGCCATACACTTACCACCAACATAAATTTCATCATTTTTCAAAAAGTATTGTGGATTTCTATATTGAACTTTTTCCAAGTCAGTTTTTTCGAGATAATTTGATTGCATGTAACAGTCTAGTATGGTTTTATATGCTGATACCATTTTTGAGTATAAATGATAAATTTGCGGCTTTTCATGCTGGAACAACTTGTTAAGTGAAGTTAAAATTGGTAAAACAAAATCCAAAAAATTTAAATAGAGTTCAAAAGTTGGATTTGATACACGTAAATATAAATCACTAGCTTTATTGTCAATCAGGTGTTCAGCTTGAAAATATAATTTAAGAGCTTTTAACTGTTCCAATATTCTTGTATTGCAATCATGTAAAGCCAGCCATCGAGTTTGTGACGGTTGCAGTAATTTATGAGGTTTAATTTCAAGAAAAGTTTGAAACTCTTTAAATTCCAGTTGGCGCTTGAAACTATACTTCATGTATGTATATATATTTCTAATAGTGTCTTCAATTTCATCTGGAATTTTTTGGCAGGCATAAGATGCACACAAGGCTAAAGAATGACAGATACATTTCATCACAAACAAGTTGGAAATATCATTCTCTAGAAGAGTTTTTACCGAATGATGTTGGCCAAACATTGTATTTGCACCATCAGATGCGAATGCTATCAAATTTTTCTTGTATGGCACAGAATACTTAAGAAAAAAGTTAACTATTAATTCATAAATTCCTTGTGCAGTGCAGTTTTTAACTTCGACTAAACTTAAAAACTCATCCCTTACTTTATATTCATCATAATCCATTAATCTTACAACTATGGCCAGATGTTTTGTTGATGACTTATCAGTCGATTCGTCAATCAAAATTGAAAATTGCTGGTTAGCTATTTTTAAAATTAAACTATCAAAACCAGTACATCCAATAACATTGGTGACAATAGCTGTGGCTTTTGTTCGGTTACATGACATTTTATTTATGACATTTGACTCTGGATTTAGTGATTTTATTAAACTTATTAAGTGATCGGAAGTTCGAAAGGCTATATTGTGTTCCGTTATAAACATTGCTACTTTAATTTCAGCCTCTTTTACTTTTTTATCGGTAGTAATATTATTACTTACTTGTTGCATTTGATTAATAGGTATGGTATTTGCTACAGATTTGGCATTACACACATGTTTGCCTGTTTTAGAATGTTTGGCAACTGCAGATAATCCACCAAGATAAGAATCGTTACAAAACATACAGTGAAAATATGTAGCTCCTTTTTTACTAGAACGTAACCATTTAGAATAATTTGGATTTTTTTGCCAATCTACCCTGTAATTTTGTAAATATGGTTTCTTTTTAGGCCATCCTTTCGTACTACGTGTCGTTGAATCTTCATCATTTGATGACGCCATTCTAATATTCTGTAAAACAATAAAATTTAAATATTTATATGAACTATGTTCACACTTCAAACTACATATTATGCCGATTTGACATTAAATAGTATCTGTAATGTTACTTTCAACTTACTTCTAACATGTTAGGTCTATGATTTCAGTTACGACTTGACGACTTTGCGTTTGCTTTGCAGTTTGCACTTCGCAATTTGCCAGTTTGAAAATGATTAGTGAGATAACTGAATACTGATAAAGTAATAAGTGAAATATTTCAAATACTTATCATTTATATTCTTATCAGTATAACTACAATTATTTACCTAGGAAGATATTATAATATCATTGATTGTTTTATTCTGTGATAATATATCTACCTTGAAAATTACAAATTTTAACCATGTTTTATTCTATAAGAATCGTATTATTTTATTTTTTTTTGTGAAATACAGTTTTTTATAAATTATAACCTAAGGGAACTTAAATCTTCAGATATCCTCAAAAGTATAAAATCTTCAAATTTATACCTAAAGCAAGTCAAAATCTCCAGAAATAGGAAAAATCTCTAAATATGGCAACACTGAGAAATGAAATTAGTCTACGTCGGTCGCAGTGCCTGTTGCCAAAAATCTTATTTCCATCACTCCACTTTATCGGGTAACTACGACACCGTTATGTATAGATAATTACGCGATTAGGAAACGATGCGTGTGACAGAGATCGATGTAGTGGATACAGGCGATACAGCAGGCAGACAGAGACCGTAATGTGAAACGAGCCTTTGATAATATTATTACATACAGAGGTTATTACTCATCGACCCCCCAATTAATACGCTATGATAGACACTATAACATTTGACGCAAACATCATGTTCACCTTCAACTATCCTGTGAACAATATAGTATCTATAACAAAAAAAGCTTTACGTATTACACGACGATGTACACAAATTGTTGAACCTCTTGCACCAATAGTTGACTGACCGAGCTCGAACCTTAATAGATTTCAACTAGAGCACCTATCCACTAGATACTAATTTTAATTACTGTCGCGCCCTACCTGCTTAGTTGCAGTGCTAATAGTACCTACGTAGCTAACTTGAATGTTAAACGATTTTCACTTGAGGTGACGGACTTGCTAGGCATTCCAACTCAGTTTTCGAATTTACATTTTTTTGCATACGAAAAAGCAAAGGACATGCGACGGAGAACCGTGTTATTCAATATCAATTGCCGATTTTCGTGGGTGAAGTGAAATTTCAAACATTCCCGCTCTCGAAACGAGATCTCTAAGACTTATCAAAAATCGTTATCACCTCCTACATTTTTGTTTTTTAACTGCCCATGACGTCAACAGGAGTGACTTCTATAAGTAATTTCAACGACATTGACGTCTGCATCGCCGAGTGTCACGACAGCGAGTTTCACAAGCAGCTAGTAACTTAATAAACTAATAGAATCAGTAAAAAAAATATGATAGGGACAGTGCATTCAATGATACCAACTCTGGTGACAGGTTAAGTAGCCAGAGGCCGTGCCACTGGCGCTGCTGGCGGACGGGATGAAATTCCCTAGACTAGCAACGTTTGGGAAATATAATTTAAAAAAAATAATAATTTGGCACCGGATCACGCGCCTGTAAGCGCTTAAGAAAAAAAAATTCGTGAATGCACCCTCCGGTGGTTGATCGAAAAGACTTGTAAAAAAATTATTAATTGTTGCAACGGTCGATGGGGATTTATCGTGTACCTATTTTATCTAATCTAAGTGTCTAAAGCAAATTTAACCAACTAATAAAAGCAGTAATAAAATTGCAATCACTCTGAGTGAAGACTTCCGACTGAAACAAGCCAACTTTCGTCTTACAGATTTCATCCACGCGATCACAGATACCTCATTATTCACTGTCGGTTGTTACTAATTTTTTTTTTTTTTTTATTGTTGGAAAACTCAACGAACAGTCTGACAAACGGTATAATGCCGGAATAACTCCAACTATTGCCCCATGGAATGCGACGAGTGAGACGGCCGATGCAATGCCGGAATACTCCAACTATTACACCATTGGTCGCCCTCACAAACCGTTCGCCGAGTTCGCCTTAAGCTGTGACAATATTTCTCTCCTAGCCGCGTACGTCTGCCCGGGTGGGTCTTACAGCGACGTCGGAAAAAAATTGGTAAGTAAAAATGTCGACAATATAATGCGAACAACTTACTCGTTGGAGTCCTTCAGTCGGCACGGATAAAATACTCACGTAAAATGGATGCACGTGAAGAAGGACAACGACAAAAGAAAACTGTAAAAACACGGACGCAAAAAAATTTGAAATCGCACAAAACTTCACATCAAACCAGGGTTACCAACTGATTTTTCATAAATGCCCTAGACTTTATATCAATATTTCCCTATTATTTCCCTGTAATCTTGTGTTAGCAGAATCGTGGGGGGCTTTAAATTACAAATATAATGAGACCTACAATTAATCAAATATAAAAATATTCAGGTAACAATAAACCAGGGGCAGGAACCGTATCAATTTTTATCGGTTTGGTTAATGGTTACGGTTTTGGTATAACAGTTACCGGTTTATGTAACGGTTACAGGTTTTAGAAAATTAAATTACGGTTTAAGAAATTGGTTTTTATTTCGGTTTCGGATTAATAAACCGGTTTTTGGAAAAAAAATTTTACTTATTTTATAATCTCATCAAGGTTAAGTAAGTATTCTATTATATTTGATGGGTCAGTTCGGTCCAGTGATAAGAAATTATAACTGATGATCGAAATCACGATTTAAGATAGTACTCAGTGGCGTATATATCATTTTTGTTTGGTGGGGGGGGGGATAAGAAAAAAAAATTTAAACCTAGTTACTGTTACCTAATATTTGTGCATTCAAATAATAAATAACAAAACATATATATTTAATATATTTTATTTACAAACTACAAACAGTTCAAAATTATAGTAAAAAATTTAATTTTCTTTTTTTTTTGGCTAATTCATCAATTACCTCTTTGGTACTGATAGGAATATTCCTATGCACAGCCATTAAAGTAAGGCCGTTAAGTCGCTCTAATCAAATCTATTCAAATTTTAAAGACAATATTTAGTTAAGTAGGTACGGAACAACATACGAGGTACAACTCACGGAATGTCGATTTTAATAAAAAATTGATAATATTGTAGTGTAAATACGTAAAACCCATCCGTGCATTATACAATAATAATTTCTTAAAACATTTCCAGAAGTAGGAAAATGTATTATTAGCCACACGACCATGCAGGCGTCTTCGTCGCAGCGTTGTTATCGGCGGCGGTGGCGGTGGCACGGCTGAACAAAGTCTATTCTTGTAATAATTATATTTATGAAATAAAAATTAACAAAAATCCTAGCTTTTTTTTTGTTTCCTTGTGATCTTGGAATGCCCTAATGGCTAACACTAAAAACACTATTTTATATAATTCTTTAAAAGTTATATGGGGGGGATCTGACCCCCACATCCCCCCTTGTATACGCCCCCTGATAGTACTATCAAAACCAAGACTCGCCAGCACCATCTCCTTGATCTACTTAGTTACTCAAGACGACTTATCTTCAAGAGTTAAGAGTCCGCATTCTAATCTCTAATACATACTTATATATTATGTAAATAATATGTTATAATATATTGTATTTTTATTTGTTATTTTAAAATATTCAGTGATTTACCACTTTACCAGTTACATTTAAAAAAATAAAAATAGCCATAGTTATCCTTACAATGACCTTTATTAAAGTAATTACCACCAAACATAAGAGAAGGATAATGAACAAATACTATACAAATAAGTAATAAACTTTATTTGTATTATATTAATTATTTATTTAATAGAAAACCTTTAATTATACTTTTCTGTTGACTTTTTTATAATTTAATGTTGCCTCTTATTACCATGATATGTTCAACTAAATCTTTTGATATAGTGGAACATAGGTCAGACAAAATGAATTTCAACCCCGAAAAACACCTTTCTACAGACACCTGGAATACAAAATAAATAACTATCTACAGTAAAGTTGATGTGGTAAGTATAATAATGAATATATAAATATAAAAACATAAAATAGCATAATATGCAGGAAAAATCAGGGAAAATATTTTCTATAGGTTAAATTATATTAATGAAATTAATCAATACTAATTATACCTGAGTAGCAGGAATTGCCATCAGAACTTTTGCAAGCTCATAAAGCTCTGGCGTAATATGTTTTTTTGTTGCCCAATATTCCATTATATCTATTTTGTAGGACTAGTATGGTACTTTATCATACTGTTCGAATAATGTCTCTCTATAGAAGGAACAGACGAATACCAGAAGTGGCAGTCGGTGTGGATGAATGACAGATTTTGATTTTGATTAGTTATTGTTGTAGTTTCAACATTAGCTGGTAGAACCATCTGCAAATGGCATAATAATTTCCATGTTTTTGACAAATGCAGCTTAGCCTGCTATTTAGCATCAGCTGTCAAAATACCCTGGTAGCTTGGATCCAGATACATAGCTTTAACAGTGAAAATAAAATTTGAGTTGGTAATTTTATTTACAAATTAAACATAATGAATAGATATAATATGATATTAATAGGTCCTTACCTACCATTATTCAGTCCTTTATTTACTGAAGAAAGTTCTCGTTGATGATTTATTTTTATTTAAGAGGATATCAGCGCACTATTTGTTTTCTCTCTCTGGCTCACGCGCAACATAGACAAAACGCATTTACGCAGAACCATTTTTTCTATGATTTTAAGTAACCTTAGAGTAAAAACACCAATTACAAAAAAAGATAGAGAATAATATTTTTGAGGGAATGACATATCACATAATATATTACATTTTTTGTAACTAGCTTGTGGTCACACTGGTAGATAGATTGGTGAGATTTTTACTTTCCTAAGTTGGCAGTAGTGTACAAGAAAATTTCTTTTTGATTATAATATAATCGATAAAAATTAAATTTTTTCGGTTTCGGTTTTCATTGCGGTTTTTTGGTTTTTCGGTATGGGTTCAGTTACGGTTTTAATTTTTTTTCGTGTACAACCGGTTTCCAAAAACCGGTTTGATTACGGTTCCTGCCCCTGCAATAAACATTACGGTTGTCTATTCATAAAACACAGTAAGTGGCATTTTTATCAATTTACGTTTTATTGGCCAAGATTGTTTGAAATTATGTGCTGCGTCGATTGCACCCACTCTTGATACTAACATCTTTTTAATCAATGAGATAAAATCAAGTATTTC